ACTATGCACCTCTTATTCTGCACTGTTGTCATGTAAATTATACCTATTCATTTCTTTCTTTTAAACAGTTCTTTCTTTGCTTCATCTGTTCAAATGCAGTATCATTATTTATGCCCTCTTTTCTTAGTTTTTCCCCAACCTCTAGGTCAGTGCTATTTTATAACAGTGGCATTATGCAGTATTTGTACTTTTCTGATTGAGATATTTCACTCAGCATAATGTTCTCCAGGGTGACCCTTTTGGTATTATATTTTATGAGTCTCTAGCTTTTCAACACTGTGAAGTATTCCATTGTGTGAATATACCACAGTTTCTCTAGCCACTCATTTGTTAATGGGCACTTGGGTTGCTTCCATCTCTTTGCTATTGTGAACAACACAGCAATAATCATTGTTATATGCAGTCAAGTCGCCTACGACACATAGCGACCCTATGTACAACAGCCCCAAACCCTGTTCTATCCTGTGCCAATCTTATTGTCTCTGGCACACTAATCCCCATTACCCCAGTCACTGAATCAATCCATCTCATAGAGGGTCTTCTTCTCTTGTGCTGTCCCACCACCCTGCCAAGCAGGATGTCCCTCTGCAAGGACTGGCCCTCCTTGCAACATGTCAGATGAACGTATGTCAGATGAAGCTTTAGAATCCTTACCTCTAAGGAACAGCTTGATCTCACCCTCTCTAGGATGAACCTGTTTGTTCTCCTAGCAGTCCATGGTATATTCAAAACCCTTCTTCAGCATCACAGCTCAAAAGCATCAGTTCTCCTATTATCCAGTCATTGGCCAGCTTTCTGATGCATAGCAAGCAATTGCAAAGACTATGGCCTGGATCAGGCACACTTTAGTCTACAGATTGACACTGTTGCTTTTCAGTACTTTGGAGAGGTCTCTGACAGCACTTTCCCAGTGCAATTTGTCTTTTAATTTCCTGGCTTCTGGTACCAAAAGTGTTGACTGTGGAGTCAAACAAACTAAAGCTGTTAACAATCTCAATCTCTTCACGGTCTATTATACTGTTGCCAATCGGTCCAGTGGTGAAAATCTTTGTTTTCTTGATGTTGAGCTTCAATCTGTATTGAAGGCTGAAGTTCTTGGCCCTCTGCAATAAGCGCTTCGGGTCCTCCTTACTCATTGCAAATACATTTTATAAGAAACATAAATGCAGGCTATACACATGGATTTCACCTGATGGTATGCATAGAAATCAGATTGATTACATCTGTGGGAAGAATCACTGGAGAAGCTCAATATCAGCTGTAAAAACTAGACCCAGAGCTGATTGTGGAGCAGACCACTGACTTATTTATATGCAAGTTCAAGCTGCAGCTAAGGAAAATTAAACCAAATCCATATGAGCCCAAATTTGACCTTAAGTCTATCACACCTGAATTTCAAAACCATCACAGGAACAGGTTAGAGGGCTTGAACACTAACGAGCGAAGACCAGAGGAGCTGTGGGAGCATATCAAGAATATCATCCAGTAAGAATGCGAAAGGTCATCATAAAGACAGAGGAGGAAGAAATGACCAGGTTGGCTGTCAAAAAAGCCTCTGAATACTGCACTAGAGCACTGAGAAGACAAAGCAAAGGGAAGAAATCAAGATATTAAGGAGCTGAACAGAAGATTTCAAAGGGTAAAGGGCAGCTTGGGAAGACAAAGTAAAATATTACAATGAATGGTGCAAAGAGCAATAAACATGGGTGTGCATATATCTGTTTGGGTGGCAGTTATGGTTTCTTTAGGGTGTATTCCCAGTAGTGGAATTGCTGGGTCTAATGCAATATTTCTATTTTCAACTTTTTGAGAAAGTGTCATGCTGCTTTCCAGAGTGGTTGCACCATTTTACACTCCCACAAGCAGTGAATAAGGATTCCAGTTTCTCTACAACCTCACCAGCATTTGTTGTTTGCTGCTCTGTTGAACTTTGCTATTGTTACTGGAGTGAGATGATATCTCATAGTTGTTTTGATTTGCATGTCTCTTAGAATTAGGGATTTTGAACATTTCTTCACGTGTTTGTTCCCCATCTGAATGTCTTTTTTGGTGAAGTGTCTTTTCATATCTTGTGTCCATTTTGCGTTGTTTACCTTTATCTTGTTTAAGTGCTGGAATATTCTATAAATTCTAGATATAAGTCCTTTATCAGACATGTTGTTACCAAATATTTTTTTTTCTATCTGTGGCTTTCCTTTTTACACTCTTGAAGAGGTTTTTTGGTATGCATAGGGATTTGATTCTTAGAAGGTCTCATTCATATATTTTATTCTCTCCTGGTTGTAGGTTTTTCAGAATGCTTGGGAGACTGTTCATGTTGTGGATTAGGGCTTCTAGAGTTCTTCTAAGCTTTTTTCTGTTGAAGTTTATAGCCCTTGGTTTTAGTCCTAGGTCAATGATCCACTTTGAGTTGGTTTTTGTGTATACGAGTGAGGTGTGGTTCTTGCTTGAGTTTTCTGCAGATAGTTTCCCAATTTTGCCAACACCATTTGTTAAAGAGTTTGTCATGTCCCCACTTAACTGATTTTGTCTTCTTATTAAAAAAAGGTTGACGAATTATCTTCAGTGACATTAATGTAATGTGAATCCATTGAGTTGTTGGTAGGTATTGTCAAGTCCTACTGTATCAAGGTTCTGACTCATGTACGACAGGAGGAAACTTTGCTCAGTAGGTACAATCTTTATAATTGTTGCTATGGTTGAGCCCATTGTTGCGTTGTGTCAATCCACCTAGTTGAGAGCCTTCATTTTTTTTTCACTGACCATCTGCTAAGCATGATGTCATTCTCCAAAGGTTGTTCTCACAATATTAATAAGATTAGTGGTTTGAATCTATGAGCTGTCTTATGAGAGGAAGATGGATGATCATTCCATAATGAATTCTCCCATAATGATTTATAGCCTCAGATACTATATAAATTAATGAGTTGGACCTGAATCCATAGCAATGGGTTTGGTTTTCTTCCAAGCTACATATGCTTATCCTTCTGGATAAGTCAATATTCTTTTACCAATGCCTTCATTCAAAGGTATCAAGTCTTTGGGTTTCCTCATTTATCATCCACCATCTAGCTCTCTGATATATGAGGTAATTGGATGTACCAGGCTTAGATAAAGTGCACCTTAGTCCTCAATGTGTTATCTTTACTTTTGAATACTTACGAGAGGATTGTTTTTTCTTTACTACCAGCAGATTTTTCATCTGATTTCTTCGTTTCTGCTACCATAGCTGTTAATTGTTTGTATAAGTAAAATAAAACTCAGGAAAACTCTAATATATTCTCCATTTATCATGATGTTTATTGGTCTAGCTATAAGTGAATAGCAAGTGATTGAAATGACCATGGCCTGTATCAGGTGCATCTTAGTCTTCAAACTGACATCATGGCTCCTCAATAATTTGGAGAAGTTCCTGACTGCAGACTTTCAATCAGATGGATTGACAGAGACTGTGGCAATAAGCTTGAGTCTGTCAGAGATTGGGAGGATGGCACAGGATGGGATAGAGTCAGATCTGTTGTTCATAGGGTCACTATGAGTCATGCTCAATGTGATAGCACCTAAAACCAAAGACAGTATCTTCTAAATCTGATGCCATAGTATTCTTCATATAATCTATGCTCTCAGATTATTTGCTCAGTATGCAGATGAAATATAGTAAACAGGTACATCCCAGATGCCTACACTTTCATTTATAAACTATGCAATAATGACCGCTTCTTGTTTTATGCATTATGTGTGTGTGTGTGTGTGTGTGTGTGTGTGTGTGCCTTTTGAGTCAGAACTGACTCAAAACTGAGTGTTCAGCAGATTTTCAGAGGCTATAAATAGCAAAGGGGTGCTGCCTTTGGGTAAACAGCACAACCCCCTACCATCTATGCCATCAGAGTTAAGGTTCTCCCTAAATACAGCTAGGTTCTGCATAAATCCAATTAGAAGAATAGAATTTCCAGTCTTTGTAAGAGTCTATTGTAATTAGATACTATTATGTATTATTCTATAATTCAACTTCTAACCCCTTTCGATCTAATAAGATTATGTACTGTCTAAGACAGAGACTATTTTTTATATCTATTTTCTATCACATTCAGGACCAAGAAACAGATAATTCCAAGTACAAACATACAATTAATTAACTTTATAGGAAAAAAGCTACAAAGTTCCTGATCTTCAGTAAACCACATAAGCTCTTAGAATCATGAAGGATAAAAAGAAACACACTTTTCTTACCCAACATTGTTGTTGTTGTATACTGTCAAGTTGGAACGGACCCATAGCTGACCCTCCAATGGGTTTCAGAGGCAGCTAATCGCACAAGAGGAGATTGTCCATCCTTCACCCATGGAACAGCTGGTGGATTCAAACTATGTGCCTTTGGGATTATATTGCAGCTTCTTACCACTAGGTCACTAGTGCTCTCTACATTATGTATTTATAAAACATCTGCTCTCTGATTATTTTGCACATTACCAGTGTAGTCTGGTAGTAACAAATAACGAGGTATGAGGCAAAAGTAATACTGACTGTGATGGTTAAGGTTATGTGTCACATTGGCTGGGTCCTAACTCTCAGTTGTGTGGCAATTATGTAATAATGCACTTTGACATTTATATAATGAAGTAATTTGGTAGCTATGTAACAATGTAGTCATCTTATATCTTGTGATTTGATATGGTATCCTTCATTGTTAGCTAATTCTAACATTGACACAACAATCTGGTCTTTGAAACCTAGCCAAGTTGATGGATAAGTATAAAGCAAAGCAAAATAAATCTGAAAAAATAATTTCATTTATTTCCTTCAATTTAATAGTTGTAGCCATTCTCAAAATAGTTTTTAAAGTATTTTGACATGCAAAGAAGTTTTACAAAACTCCATGGCTCTAGCCTCCGTGATTCATTTGAATTTTCCTCATAAAAGTGAGCCAAGCTTCTCATAGGTTTACAAGACATACTACTAAATTTTGAGCAACAGTTAAATAAAGTGAATGATTGTCATACCGTATGTAGATGCTGTTGAAATTTTATCTTGGTCCTGAGTAGTAGACTTACAGCTTGTCACAGAACTCTGTGATTTTGGAGGACTAAGCGTATCCGGTGATTCTAGCTCTGACGCCGTATGTGGACTAAAATCTAGAAAATCCAAAACAAATATTATAAAATGATGTTTTGGACAATAAGAAAATCACTACCAGTGCTTTTTCTATTTCTTGCAATAAACAAAGAGCTTTCCCCACTCCTCTATTGAAGGACTGAATATTAGAACATAATTAAGGAATAGAGATTCTTCATTTATATATGACAATGCTCGTCATTAACTAGCAGAAAAATATCTACAAACCCTGTCCTCCCAAAGAGCTGCTAAATTCTTACCCAATATATTGGCAACACAATAGATTTATTTATTTTGTTGGGTCAAGGAATGTGGCTGTAATTTGATCTTGCTAAACCAAGTGAGAAGGGATTAACTATACGTTTTCCACCTTAGTTCCATTCACTACCATGAAAATGTATCTCATTATTAAAATGCATTTCTTTAGGAAATCTGTGCAATAGGAAAATATACTTTTAAAAAATGTGGTTATGACTAGAGAGGCAAATGCATTTCAACTCTGGTTTAATGGTAGTGGCTGCCTGGTCTCCTGCACTGAGAAAAGCTCTGTGGCCTTGTCCTGTTTTAAGAGTCAGTAGGCTGTTATTGATGAAGGTCAGCTGTGGGTAAGGGGAGTAAGAGAGGCAGCACCAAGGTGAGCAATGTGTGACCACTGATGCTCCTCGATTACATTTACAGGTCATAATTTCATGCCTAAATCTTTGGTTTGCAAGCTCTATCTTCTTTGTTAGAATTAGACGAATGTGTCCATAATATGGAGCTGGACTTTGATTCCGGAAAAACTCCTGAGTATTTTCATTTCTTACTTTGATAAAGAGAAGCACTAAATTTCATTTCATCCCTAAGTTATCCATTCTACACTTTCTGAGAATGAAGACATTACCCAGTATATCACAATACCACCATTATGCCAAAGAAAGAAACAATAATTATACAGTAAAATTTAATATATAGTCATCTAATCAGGCTTCTGAAATTTTTCCAAAATATATTTCTTTCCTTGATATAGGATCCAATCAAGGTTAATGTATTAATTTAGGTTTTTAGGTCTCTAGTTTAGGATAATCACTATTTTTTGCTTTAATGCTTGACCTTTTTGAAAAAGGCCAGTTCAGTTATCTTATGGAGGAATGTCTATCCATTTCTGTTGAGTAGAATGGGTTGTTATTATTATTATTATTATTATTATGTTTCTAAGACTGTAATCTTAATGGAAGCCTACTGCCACATGTTTCATCTGAGGATCAATTGTTGTGTTTGAACCACCAACTTTTTGTCCGATTGTTTCCTTATGGTTAGTTTCATTTAAAGATTTTTGGCAAGAACTTTACATGCTGTTATTGTGTACCATTATGTCAGAACTGACTTTTAGTTGAACCTCCCATGAATTTTTAGGAGTGGCCTCCACTTCCGAAATGGTTTGCCTCTGGAAACTCCATGAACAGTGTTCAGATCTTTCGTTCATCGGTTGCTCTACAACTCAATGGCACTTAACAACAACAACAAATTGCATGGAAGGAGAATCCCCATTTCTCTCCCTTGGACCAGCTGGTGGATTTGAACCGCTTGTGTTTGTGTTGGCAGCTTAATTTCTTACACATTACACCCCAGAGTTCCTTAGAATTCTACACAGGTAATATATACTTTCTATGCATTGCATAGATGCTGAAGAAGAATTGATGTCTTTGAACTGTGGTTTTGGAGAAGAGTAGTGAATGTCCCATGGACTGCCAAAAGAACAGTTATGTCTTGGAGAAGGCGCAGCCAGAGTGCACCTTGGAAGCAAAGATGCTTGTCTCACATACTTGAGACATTGCTAGGAGAGGCTATTCGCTGGAGAGGGACTTCATGGTTGGAAAGATGGAGGGATGATGAAGGAGAGGAAGGCCCTTAAGGCAGATTAACATAGTGACTGCAATAATGGGCTCGAGTTTGTCAGAGAATGTGAGGATTGGCACAGGATATGACAGGGTTCAGAACTGTTGTTCATGGTGTCATTGTGAATTATATTTGACTTGATGGCACTTTCTGCATTGCATAAGAAAATATAAAATGCTATGTTCTTGATTACCTGGTAATACTTCTCCATTGTAAAGGTACATTTCCCTTATAATAATCAATAATAATATGTGAGGGGATACTTTTTAGCCATGGGACTGTTCCATTCCCCATACCTATTTTTTTTACTCCTTTGATCTTTAAATTGTTATTTTTGTGTACTGTTGAGTCAGACTTAACTCATAGTTGATTCTACAGCATGTTTTTAGAGGCAGAAAATAGCACAAAAGGAGATTATTTGTCTTTCTCCAGTGGAGGAGCTGGTAGATTCAAACCACATGCTTTTGAATTACTAAACCACCAGAGTTTTATTATCTAAACTAGACATTCCAAACATTCCTCCACCTCCCTCCTCCCTTCTTCCTTCCCTCCCTCCGCCCGGGAATCCTAGTGGTTTATTGGTTAATTGAGCTGCCAATGCAAAGGTATGTGGTTTGAAACCACCAACTGCTCCAAGTAAGAAAAATGGCCAATCCTCTCCTATATGATTTATTGACTCGTAACATCTGTCAGAGGGTCAGTTATGGTTCCAGCTTGATGGTACAAACAATGACAAATATTTTTAGATAAATTTTAAGGAAACCAGAAAAAATGTGCTAAATTTTACTTATAGATTGTTTTCCTCATATAGCTCATTTAATTTTTCAAAGTAGATCATGTCATCAACTATTACTGAGACAAAAGTTAGTCTGAACTAGTTATGCACTGAGAGAACACAGCTAAATATTCTACTAATCACATTAAACAGAAGTAAGAGGTACACTAACGTTTTACCTGAAGGAGTAGATGTTTTTGGAGCATGTATGTTGTTTACATCCTCACCTTTCCTCATCAAAGGAGGTAGTTCTTTGGAAAGGCTGTCTAGATAATTAAACTTAGAGAAAAAATATGGAAGACATTTTAGACTTACACATGGCTGAAAACTTCCATAAGCATGTTAAGCTGATGAGCAATGATCAAAGCATACTTATGCAGCCCTTCAAGAATAAAGTTTATAAATGAAAAGTTCTTTGGTTTATTTTAAGTTCACAATTTACAATAATTCCTTTTCAAACTGCCTCTGATTAATAATAGCATCTGGGATATTTATAGAAATGCATGGAGTTGTTAACACATGAAAATATTCACTTGACTCAAGATTTCATCCAACTTTCAAGCAATTAGAGAAGGTTGGACTTTCTGTAGTTGTTCTAGGCTCACATGGATGACAACTGCAATATGCTGCCCCATGCGCATCTAAGAACTAACAATGTCACAGTGCTAGCTCAGCAATTGATGCCAGAGGAGATTTTAATGCAGTAACAACTTGGTTATAAGGTTGGTGTATCAGGAGATTCAGAGGTAGAAAGTATTTGACAAAAACCACAATAAAACAAGCCTTAAAATAGCTATGACAAGAGTAATTAATGGTATTAAGGCAAGACAGTCAGAAGGAACAGTAGCGTAGCAGTGATGGAAAACTTGTACATGGTTGCAAGATTAGAAATTTTCTTCCCAGTCAAATGGAAAATAAATCCTTGCCAGAATACAGATTTGATGGCATTGACTAGTGAGACAAAATCTTCAGGGTGATACAAACAGTTAACACATTTGATCAAAAGTCTGGAGGTTCACGTTCACCCAGAAATGCCTCAGAAGACAGGTCTGATCATCCTGTGAAAAATGAACCTCTGAAAATCTCTTAGAGCGGTGTTCTATTCTGAAACACATGGAGTTGCTGTAAATCTGGATTAGCTTGTTAATATACTGACTAGGTTAGTCAATCAGACTGATGCAGGAAGGAATCAAGTAATATCCAATTCAATTGTAGTTGATTATATTCAATTACCTGAGTCTGATATGAGTTGCTCAATTCAGATTTGAAGTACGGTGGTATTGTTTTGTTCCTAATACATGTTAGATATTTTTTTGTTTCTTCAATTTCATTCCTGGTTGATATTTCCATGCAATTAAAAAAAAAAAACACAACCAGAAAACTTTAAAATGTTATTTGCTCATATTTTACCTCCCACGTATTTTAAGTCTCAAAGAAAATCAATGGGATCACTACCGGTAAAACTGATAAGAATTGACATTTTTTGGCAACTTGTTTTGATTAATTTTCAACTTGTTTTATAACCTCCTCTTCAAAATGAGTTGTTGTTGTTGTTATGTGCCGTCGAGTCGCCTGTGACTCATAGCGACCCTATGTACAACAGCCCTAAACTCCACTCTGCCCTGTGCCAATCGCACTGTCTCTGACAACTCCCATCCCAATTATCCCAGTCACTGAATCAATCC